CCACCCTCTCCACCAGCCCCCCAGAAACCTGCAGATAGGTAGCAGGAGCCCAGCCCCTATGAGCCCCCCGCACCCCATTACCTTCGGGCTCCTCGCAGGAGACCAGCGCAGCCAGCAAGGCAAGGAAGAGGAGGCTCGGCCCCATGGCGCGCACACTGCCCTCCTCCCTGCCCTGCAGCTCATCAGAGGACGCAGCCCCTCGGCTTGCCCATCTCCGCAAGCCCCCGGAGCACTATTCGGCCTGCCCCAGAGAAAGCCAACTTTGTTCCCATGCACTCAGGAGGGGAGATGCTGTAGAGCACTGGGGGAAGGGAGGAGACGCTCCCCTTAATCCCAATCCTCTCCCCAGCAGATAATCCCTGGAAGATTACCCTCCTCAGACCCAGTGTTTAAAGGGACAAGTCCTGTTAGGCACCGCAGCCTCTACCCCGCTCCCAGGGTCTAGCACTCCGGTAGCGCAGGAGCATCACAGCCCGAGGCACTTCAGGGACAGAGTGGGCACTGCCATGGCTTGGCAGCAGAGCCCCACGGCCCGTGCACTGGAAAGGGAGCCAGGATGGGAGTGCTACCAATGCGTGTCTGGCTAGAGTCCCTTCTCTCGAGGGCATCCTCAGCCCAGCTGTGCCAAGCACCACCGAGGAAGCATCTAACAGGAGTGCAGAAGGCTGGGCAAGGTGGGCCACATCCTGTGCTGGCAGCCCAGGAAGGCTCTCTCCAGAGCTAGCAGCATCCTCCTGCAGCACGTGCCACGGGGCCTGCCAGGGCAGCCAGCTGCCCTTCCCTCCCCCCTCCCCTCCCAAGCACAAGATGCCTGGCCCACTGCCCCCGCTGTTTTTCACTAGCCCAAGGGAGGCTCCTTGGCTGCGTGCCCCTGCGAGAGCCGTGTGGGGTGCGCACCGCCCTCCCTGCCCAGATCCAGCCCAGGAAACTCTTCCACACAGCCTGGAGCTCTCCCCCCTGCTTCATCCCTGCTCTTCCCCCAGCCCATGTTCAACAACTGCAGAGCTTGCTGCCCCTTGCCTGTGGCACAGGCCCAAGGGGCTGCTCTTGTGCCCCCCACCCCAAGGGCTCAGCCACAAGTCACACCCACAGTGTTTGTAATTAGAAAGTGAGCAGATGGCCAGGGGTTTAGCATAACGTGATTTTCCCCACTAACCTGGAGTTCCAGCAGCTTTTACTGAACTGTTTGAGAAAGGAAGAGAGGAAGAAAGTCAGTGTCAGGCCCAAGAGAGCAGTCAGGGCACTGAAATTGCCTGTCTACCTCCATCTGGTCACACCACCTCCACACAGAGGGCAGCAAAGGCCATAGTTGCCCTTCTTGCTCCGGGGAGATCAACTTCATGCTGTCCTTCTCCAAACCACTTCCTGAAGGGCAAGCTGCCTCACCCCACAAGCCCAGGCTACTGCAGCAGATTCAGAGATTTGCTGCAGGAGGCAGCAAAATCAAATGCACCCCAGGGAGCAGGAGTACCTGAGCCAAACCTGGCCTTCCAGTGCCACCCCTGGGGACATGGGACAACACGCTCTCCAAGGCAGCGGTCAGCTGCACCATATGGCAACATGCAGCACCACTAAGTGCTCCCGGCAGCACCATCATGCCTGGCTCTCACACTGCAGGCCCTGGGCTGCTTGATCTCTTGGTCACACCACAACTCACCCTGGCTGGCCGGGATGGGGCTGAGGGAGACACCACACACCACTTGGCCTGGCATTCTGGCTTTTTATTAGTCACTCCCAAGTACACTTTGCCTGGTCAGGAGCCCAAACCCCAATGTGGGGAGGAAACTCAGGGAAGAACAAAAGCATTGGGAAGCCCCCAAACCCCCAGTGCTGCAGGGAAGCAGTAGCCTGTAGCACCTCCAACCCTCTCCTCTCACAAGATCAATGCAGTATATGGGGATCAGCAGTGCAAATGCTGTTAACAGCACTGGCTGAGTGAGTTAGGAGACATCCTGAAGGGAAATGCTGACAGAGGCAGAAGTGGAGCAAGCCACCCCTTGGGGAACAAGGTATGGGGGAGAACAGGCCTGAGGGCCACAGGTCTCACCTGCCGCGTCTGCTCAGCACAGCTCCCTGCTCGGGGAGGTCCTGACTGAAGACCAGGCTCAGGAAGACCTGACAGCGTGGCTACACAGCAGCAGGGACCACATCACCAGTGAGCAACCAGGCAGAAAAGGCCTGGGCCAGGCAAAGACTGAACCTTGTGGAAGGGTGGGAGAGGCTTGCCCCTAATCCCTAAAAGAGGGAGACAGCTCTTTCAGCTCAAATCTCTTGTCTGGCAGCTGAGACCAGCCCCTTCCACCTCCCCACACAGACCAGAACTGGCAGCCAGTGAGGCTGGAGCAACAGAGAAGGAAGCTAGCCAGCTGCACGTGGGAAGAGACCCGGTCAGCCCTCTTCCCCAGCACATCACAACCAGATCACACCAGCACATCCCACAGAGGCCTGTGTTTTCCATACGCAGGGAGGCAGATGAGCACCTCACACAATCTGGATGCCCAGCTCCTCAGCTGTCTTCTGCAGACGGTCCATGACATTCTCCTCCAGCTCCATAGCCAGCCCACTAGGCACCGCGGCCCGCTCCTCCTCACCAGCTATGACACAATAAACAGTCTCACTCTCCCCAAGCTCGTTGGTCCAGTTCATCACACGGATGATGGGGTTGGTTGGGGTGCTGGGTTCTTGCTCCAAGGACAGCGCTGCTCCGACGAAGGCACTCGGCCCTGCTGTCTCAGGGTTGCCACTAGAGTAGGCTGCAGGGTGCAGCTGGGCCACTTGCAGCTCAGTGTCACTGTTCTCCACTGAGGGAGCCCCTGCTGGGGCCTCCAGAACAATGGCCTGCAGGTTGCCCTCACCCTCAGACAGCACCACACACTCAGCCGAGCCATCGAGGGCCTCTCCCTGCTTCTCACGGTCCTTCAGTAGCTGCTCTGTCAGCTCCACGCTCTCATAGCGCACCAGCTGCAGCCTCATGTAGCCATCCTCATGTTCTTTGTACCTGAGCAAAGACAGGCGGGGTGATGGAGCAGGTTACACTGCAGTCCCTTCCCAAGAGCACAGCAGCAGCCTGAAAGAGCACCCAAGGAAGGGGTACTATATTCTAGGCTCCAACACCCACTACTATACGGATGATGCTGGCAAAGGAGGATAAAAACCCTAGAGCCTCTCCTCCTAGTAAGTGCATTCATGTGGCAGCTTCTGAGCTTTCTGCCTGCTCTCTATCATCTCCAAAGCCCATCTCCTTCCCCCACCCTGTTTCCCTGGGAACATTCAAAATCCATCCTCTTTCCTTCCCAGCCTTAGGCTCGAGAAACCCTTTGAGGAGATCAGAGAGTCCTGTAGAGGGCATAGCAGAGGGGCAGCTGTCAAGAAGAAAGAAGTTGAATTGGGGCAACTCTCCAGGGTGGACACCTAGAATTGGCCCCTGCCAAGTTCAGGGATATAGCCGCAACGGCACCACTGCCCACACCCCTAATCTCTGACCCGCTGCTGGAGCTCCCACCCAGCACTGCTCCACCAGTGTCTGATCCCACTGAGCACTTGCTGCCCAGGGCTTCCTTCCCAGCCCTGGGAAGCAGGTCTCGAGTACATTACAGGCAAACAAACATCAGAGCCCAATCACTGCCAGACCTCTGCTGGCTTCAGCAAGATGCAGAAGGCAGCTCTAGCTGCCTGCACCAGAGCAGAGGTAGGGAGGAGCTGAGGGAGGGCAGTACCTGAAGCGAGGATGCCCCGAGGGCCATTTGAACTGGTGTTTCTTCCTGAGGTGCACAGTGAGGTTGTTCCCACGTGTGAAGCACTTGTCACAGACGTGGCACTTGTACCGGGGCTCTGAGTCACCCTGGAGCGCAGAGAGGATTGTGAGAACCCCACAAGCCTATGCAGAGGGCCTGGTACCTGCCTGCACACACTGAGGGAGGAATCAGGTTCTCTGTGAAGACTAACATAACATATCACTGCAGCAGGAAGAGAGAAAGGCAACCTGACCTCACACTCCTGCAGCCCTGGTCAGCCTGTGGCACTTCACAGGGCTTTAGCTTTTTTCCTTATGCTTCTGTACAGCACGTCATGGTTAGTGCTTCTCAGCTTTACTGGGAGTCAGTGCACAGCAGAACAGCCCCTCCTTCCCTTCCTACCTCATGGACTTTCCGGTAGTGCAGTTTGATGGAGCAGAGGGAGCGTGCGGTGAAGCTGCAAGCCTCAAACTCGCAGCGATAGGCTGGCTCTTTGCTGTGTGTGTCCAGATGTTTCCTCAAGTCAATGAGATTCTTGCAGCTACAAGGAAACAGTAAAGGAACAAAGGTGATCAGCGCGTGCTGCGCATATACAAACAGGCCTCTGGGCACTTCTCTGCCACTAGCCAGAAACACAGGAAGCCCTGGTCCTCACCTGTAGTCACAGTAGTCACACTTGAACGGCCGCTCCTCACTGTGCCGGAAACGAATATGATTGCGCAGGGAGGAGGGCAGCGGGCAGGTCATGTCACACAGGGGGCACTTGTAATGGTTCACTGCTCGAAAGAAACGAGTGGGAAACATCACCACGGAGCAGAGGAGAGAACACACTCCTCAGAGCCTCAGTTGGGAGAAGGGGCCTTTACTCACCGTGGTTTCTCATGTGGTCACGGAGCAGCCTCTCTGTGGCAAACCTCTTGGAGCAGTGAGAACACTGAAACCTCTGCTCTGCAACATCAAGGTCAAGGGAGAAGGGGGAAGGGAAAGGGGTGGTTAAAAAGAGAAATCAAAGCAGAGAAAACAAC